TGTTTTGGGGATTTCAGGAGACATGTTTTTGTTCTCCCAACAAACATGTGATGTACATACTACTTGCAAGAAGCTGTCTCATTCTTGAAATGTTTTTTCATAATTGCAAGTAGGTGAAAAATCAGGATTAAAAAAAAAAATTATGATGATTGGTAAGATTTTGGGAAGTGAGTCAGATTAAGAACTTTTCATCACCCCTTGTATTTTTGACTGGTTTTCACCTTATTGTTGCATTTAAGCTTAACACTTGAGGTCAACTTATCTCTGAAACTTAAAATCAGCAGTGTAATGTTAGAAAAACATCATAGATTTTGATGGGGTTGGAATTTTGTATTACATATTTTGGAAGCTCATTTCAATGTATTTAGCCTTACCAATTCATCTCCAACAGTTACCCAAATCTGAAAATCTCTCACCATTGAGCAACCAGTCCTTTCTGGTTATTTATGGTATGCATTTTATTAAAGAATGAAAAATGAGACTAAAGATGTAAACATTTTTTCTTGCCAGAATCTATCCTAAATATTTATAAGTCTCCTATTCGACAAATGCTTTGAACATTGCCGCCACATCTGTTTTAGTATTTCTGCTATATATTAAGATATTCTTGATAAAATACAAAGAGGAATCTTCAGTGATATTGGTACTCACATCTTGGCTTCAGTCACTTTCTAACCATCATAATGTAACTTCCTTGTGCCTTTTTTATGTATACTTTCATGGTAATTGTTCTGATGATATGGTAACACGATTATGGATTTAAGAGCAGTATTAGGTTGGTGGCAAGGACTTATAGCTTTACAGTTGAAATGGTTAGATATAACTGTAAGTTCTATGCTAACAGTTTCTTTTCTCACACTTCTGACTTGTGGAGCACACTTCTGACTTTTTGTTTCTCAATCTTCAAAAATTTAAATTTCAGTTTTTTTTTTATGTTCACTTTCATTAATATTGTTCTTTTTTTTCATATTCTCGAATACTCAGTACCCCTTTGTGTCTTAGTTGCTTTATTGTCATGTTTGGAGTGGAATGATAAAAAATAAAAACATTATGTAGAGCTATAAAGGATAAAAAGTCATAGAGAAAGATGATTGCCCATATCCTGAAGAAACATAAAAAAGAAGAAGAAGAAGAAGAAGAAGAAGAAGAAGAAGAAGAAGGCTTATGCTATTTCTGTTGTGACATAAAGTATTTTCATTATTAATCTTTATTTCTGGATTTTATCACAATATTTGAAGTCAAATAAATTTTATTTGTTTATTGATGAATTATTATTGAAGCTGTCTTACTTCATAATCTAGAACGGACATTGTAGTTTTATGGATTAAGAATCAGATTGGATTTTTTTTTTTTGTAAGATGCAAAAAGTCTTTTGATAGACAGTTTTGAATCTCAGCAGCAAACTAAGATATGTGAATATTATTATCAAAGCTTCATGCCCAACAGATAAACGAATACAGTTTTCCAAGTTTGGTTGGTGTAGCGATTGATTTTCATATTCTTATTTCAGTCAGCAAATCCTGTAGGGAATGTGTGATTTCTATTTTTACAATTCTTTTATCAGAATCCAGGTTTTGCACTTGATACTGCCTCAGCAAAAATATTTTCTCTTAATAGATTTCCTCTGTTTTATCAAGACTCGAGGATTTAAGATTATTTCACAGTCAAATGTTCCTCCAGTTGCTATTGATGCAATATATAATATATAAAATTGAAATTCAAATTTATTGTCCTTCATGTGCAACAGAAAGAATTATAACTCAGTTTTGTTGCTCTCAGAAAATTAAATGAATGAGGAAATAGAAGCTTATTTTATTTGTTAATTAAAATGAGCAACATTTCTTATTATTAAAATGACTGGTTTGATTCTGTTAAAATGCATAACCTTGTTAATTGCTGTATTGTTTGACTATGTTAATAACTCATGTTGTAATGAAACAATTTTCCTGCATAATAAGATGAATTTCTATTTTTTAATTGCTAATCAGTGAGAAATATTTTTCAGATTTGATCTATTAATGATATATGGCCATTTTGAAAAGATTCTTAATATCATATAACAATGACAGATGGCATCAAGAATATGCTTTGAAACACATCAATAAATACAACAGTGAGGAAGAGGAATGTTTTAAGGCCATTTTTGTAAAATTTTCTCATGTATACAATGGTCTCAATTGTCAATGTAAATATATTCATTGCAGAGCAATGATTAAAACTGGTTCCAAGTGAATGAAACCTGCAAGTTTCAAAAAAAGGACAAGTATCCTTCTTATTCTTTTTATGCTACCACCTCGAGTTAGGGTGGCCCTGGGAAAAATAGCAGTTTAGAGGTGTTTCTACAAAACACCCTGATCAGAGGCCTTGCTGCTGGATCAAGTTTATCAAAATTCCCAGGAAAACTACATATTTAAGAAAATATCAGCTTATTGCAACATTTTTAATGTAGATAGATAATACAAGCTGATTAGCAGTATTTTATCTTTGTCTCATCTACTTCAATTCTGCAACACCACTTCCATTAAAGGGCAGATATTTTAGTTGTTTGGTAGGTGTAGGAATTATTATTTTTCATACTTTTTATTTTGAATAGTCATTCATTATTTCAGCCATCACTATGATTGTTCTATAAATTCCCTCTATTTTTCTTTGTCTGTTTTTGTAAATAAGTTATATCTTTATAAATAATCACTGGTGATAAATTTAAAAATGTTTTTTTTTTATTATATGCCCCACTGCCACCCAGAAAAACTTGTACATTTTTGACTATTTACTAATTCATTAAGAAATTATAGTATTATGTTGTCAGTATTATAACCAATTATTTTGACTGCATTGTTTTTTTTCCTAGTTTTCAACCCTTTTCAGGTAATTTAAAGTTGTAAAATATTTTGGCTTCTACAAATAATTTTTTTTTTTTGCACACATGAACACCCTCAACAATGTTTTCAGAATAAGCAATTATTTTTCCAGATGCAAATCATGCAATTTAACCCATTTAAAGGGGATGCAATAGATTCATACTGTTCGTAAGGGTATTTAGGCATAAGTGAACATAACAAGTCCAACTGGAATTCAAACACTGCTTTCCGATTTCTCATTCCAAGCAGCTATCCATTACACCACCCTCATATCCATGCATTATAATATTGATGTGTCAGTGTGTTGTTTTGGTGAGAAGACTAGCAAATATATGGATCAGTCATTGTGATTAGTGAGTTTAAATGATTGAACATTGCAAAACCTCCATTTTACTGCTCCATTCTTTAGTTCCACCAGTTAAAACTTTTACAGATAAGATAAGCAAAGTTACTTCCACAGAGTCAAATCATCCACATTTCCTCATACCAAATGTAATGAGAAAGTTCCTCTCAGACAACATTTTTTCAAGAACAGCCATTTCATGCTGAGCATTCTTCCTGGGAGACTACAATCTTAACCTCTTCAAGGGAAGGGTTAATTATACTACTAAACTTCATAAATGTCATGGGTCCTTACCTATAACTATAGAATGAACTCTTCCTAACACTATGTATACTACGCCTCACAAGAGAGAGGGTCAAATCGAGTCAAGCCGATAGTAGTTCACTCCAAACCAGACTGACAGTCATGCTAACACCTTCCACATCTAGTATTATTATTATTTCGTGTAATATACCTTCATTATTTTTACTCTTGTGTTTGTGTTGTTCTTCCTTGGTCCTAACATGGACCATAACAATAAACTTCATTTTCAACTTTCCCCTCTTTCACTCATATCAAATTTCATTAATGACAACTGTTTTGATGAATAATGGCATCCTACCAAATGCACTTTCCTTGGTCTTACCTTGTTTCTGACTTGTAATCTGTCCAAGAATACACTTGGATTCTTAGTAAATATATATGCAGTAGATGTTTGAGTTCATTTCCAAATATCTTGATGACCAGTGCCTAGCAGCTGGTCTCTCCAGCTAACTCTTACAGCTCAATGAGGAAAAGACTTGCTGGTAGCATTCAATACATCCAAAACTAAACTAGTAACAATTTATCCCTACCAAACCTGCACTGACCCTGATGAGTAATCATATCTTCAAAAGAGGCTTCTTGTTCCTGACCTCAAATTCAATGTGTATATTTGTGACATGGCAAAAGATGCTGGAAGAATGGTCAGGACTTTGTATCAATCCAGGAATTACCTAACTTCTGTTGCTATGCTCTATCTTTATAAGAGTCAGGTCAGACCATGAATAGAGTATTACTAACATATATGGGTTGGTGCTACCAAATCCTCACTGTCTAGCCTCAGCAGACTTCAAAAGCACTTATGCAGCCTTGTGGCTGATGAATTATTTTGTACCCTGTAACCCTTATGGTACAGAAGAAATTTTAGCCACTCACCTCTCTATCACTATTACTACAAGAGATCTTCAGACAAGTTACATTTCTTAGTGCCATCAGCTTGAACCTTCAAATGCCATGCCATGTTTACCATTCCCATTCAATACACGTCTTTTTTATGTGGAGAAAGATCCACTCAGATTCTTCACCAGAACTGTTACATTGTGGAGCAAACTCCCAAGAGGATGATCCCCTAGCAACTACAATCCTGGTCTCTTTAAGTAAGGCTCAACTTATATCTATCATACACATCCTTGTAACATGTGTTTCTTACTTCCTCCTTCCGCTTTCCTTTCAACAATGTTGCTCAGTTTCCCTCTACCTTGAAGGCTCTTTGGGTTTTGGATTGGGTGAAGTAACAGTAAAAAAAAAAATCACATTTCCCAAGCCCTTTTTCCTCAATATGTGCCTTTTTGACAAGGCACTTAATTCAGTAGTAGACAGAGTAACTATGACTCTCTTAAGTAGCCAAATGCCTCGTCATCTAATGGCGGGGTTGCTGGTCCTTGAGGGGGGAATGGTGCTGGGCCTCCTCCTATAGGGTCCCGCTGGTAACAGCCCCTCAGGCTGGCTAAAGTCAACGTCGTCCGCAGACACTAAATGCAAATTTCGCTTCCAAAATGCGCCGGTGGGGTTGCCATCCCCCCTTGATTGCTCTCAATTGGTTGTCCACGTTATACCAGGCCTCGACATTCCCCCGCCTCGACCGGCGGTGACCAAATTTCTGTCCTCCGTTGGAGTTGCGCTGTGTGCTCGCGCGCCTTCGAGCGTTCAGCCGGATTCTCTGCCCACAGGTACCGAACACATCCTAATCAATGGAACGAGCTGAAGAAACGGCGCGACGCCTCATATCACTCGCACGCCCGCACCTACGTCCGGTGGTCGCTGGCCGAACTCCGGCGTATGGCTGCGTTAGAACGCGAGGCGTCGTCCCTTAATGTGCATAATATTAACACGTACATCGCGTCCTGCATGTCACGTATCAGTGACCAAGTTAGCTGCAGGCGACGTAAGAAGGACTACAAAGACCTACTGAAATCGCTTGAGAACCCCGTCCCCTGTCCTGGCCCTGACAGCGTCCAACCCCAAGTGGTTCTCGGTGATCCTGGCCGCATCCTGCCACTCACGGGGCCCCCACCGGCTGGTACGGTGACCCCTGTGCCGAGGACTTGCCGCATATGGTCCGGCCCCGAGATTAAAGTCTTAACATCTGCGCCACCTGGCACAACGGACGCTGAACTGGCCCCTCTCCTTCCTGGCCGCACCATCTCTGCCATCCGCACCAAGAGGAAACAGCTGCCTAAGGTCAATACTCTTGTCGGTAACAGCGGTACCGCGGCCCCAGGTCCTCCCGGATGAGGAGCCGGACACGACGGAGGCCCAGCCTACCAATGACGTCTCGCACGATGACTCTCGTGGCATCGTTGAGTATATCAACGGCCTCCTGCCTTTGATTTCCGACATTAATCTACGGAACAAGGCCGAGTTGGCCCTTAACGAGCCCGACGGGTTCTCCACGCTATATTACGAAGTATTCCCCCAAAACAGGACCGGAATCAGGCGCTCAAAACCCCCTATTAAGGCAGGAATTAGGCGGCGTCGCCACCAACGCTCCGCCATATACCAATTCCTGCAAAAACTCCATTCTAGAAGCCCGAAGTCGGTGGCCGAGAGGGTCCTCGAGAGCGATCTTTCTTATGAGGGCCTCGTTGCTGAGCGGTCCTTCTCAGACGAGGACTTTCTACGTAAATGGAAACCGGTTTTCGAGCGTGACTGCTTTGCGGACCTGGCCGAAGAACATCCCGGACCGCCGTTGAACGAGGTCATGTCCCCTATCCTCGTTTCCGATATTGTTTCCGCTCTCGCGTCAATGAAAGAATCTTCCCCCGGACCTGATGGCCTCCGCCTTAACACCTTATTTAGATTATTTAGATCCACCAGCTCAGACCTTCACAACTAGGATGTACCATGCTCACAGTGGCAAACCATAACCTTCATGTTTCTTTGATAAAGTGCAAGTTCCTCTCAGATAATTTCTTACCCAATAATTACATTGTAAAACAAACACCTGAGAAAATTCTTGCCTGACAATTACAATCTTTAAGTCCAGGGTCAACCGATATCTATCCTACATATCTTCATGATATGTATTTCTTAATTCCATGAGTAACCTTCTACTATGAGTGTTGGGGGAACTAACAGGAAAAAAAAACTCTACCTTGAGTGGCTTTCTGTTTATTTTTATCTTTACAAAAATTAATAGCACTATATCATTGTTTGAACATCTAATTATTGATTAGAATATTAGAATTTATGACAATAACTTTATTGATTGGATCTCAGTTGTTTCTAGATGATTTTGATTTTGTCAAAGTTTGGTTGAGATGTTTCCTCATTGCAGCTAGAACAAAAGAATTAGAAGGCAGCTAGACATTTGACAGGAAAATCTCATTAGAAATAAGGAAATTAGCATTTGACTGTTATGTAATATCGGTTCTCTTCTATGGCAATAAATGCTGAACAATCTCATAACAAATGGGGAAACAGAAATGTGGTTCTACAGAAGGATGCTGAGAATTTACTGGATATGCGTGCAAAGGCTGAGTTTTAAAGAAAATGGAAACAACAAGGCACATGCACTCAGAAAAAGAGAGAGTTCGAATTACTAGAACACATAATGAGGAAACAGTGTTTAGCAAATTTGACACTCACAGAATAGTGTGAAATCAACTCGGACAGAGGAAAGCCGCACATAACTTACCTAATGAGTTTGTCTTAATAGTTGACAGAACAAGGATTAGGAGAAACAGTGAAAAGACGAAATTTACTAAGAACTATAAAATAAAGGAAACGTGGAGAGCCCTCAACATCCTTAACGGACATGACACATAAAAGAAGAATGAAATCGTTGTCTTATTTACGGCTCGTCCTAGGCGCGAACATTTAAGTGATTATAGACGACAATACTCAACTTCGCCAACAGATAGTTTCCATCTGATTTGGCCGGTGAAAGTCGGACGATGCAGGATTTTTTTTTCATAAGGATGCCGACATGAAAAATAAAGCAACTTTGAAAAACAAAACGGGTCACCTTTGATAGTGTAGATTTTTACAATGAGCGGTATGCAGGATCTTGCATTTCGTTGTCGTAAATACATTGCCAATGATGGTGACAAGATGGGAAAATAGTGTTTTCTAACTGATAACTTTCTCTATGCAATGGTGTTACCGTGTTCATTGTATCTGTCTTTATATCTGCTGGAATAAATACTGTCAGAGCATTGCTCAGAATGCGTAATCTCACCCACTTAACAAATTTTGTGAATGTTTTAAAACGAAGCGAAAGACATTATATGAATGATGATTTTTTTCTTGATGATATATGCTTGACTATTTGAAATATGATAGTGATCGAGTAATTGCACACTCCAAAACCATAAACTGCTTAAGGGTTCTTTTTATGACGGCTAATAAATTTTGGAAGTAAGAATTAAATTTTATGTTTTTTTTTATCTCGTAGTCTAAATTTAATTTTTTTTATTCATAATTGCAACTTAATAAAATAAATAAACTCAGTCTTTGTGTCAGCTTTTATTTTTATGGAAATATTAATATTTTCAATGTTATAACAATGAATGATTCTTTGGGGAGAAATTTCCGAAGAATATTTTCTTTATGATTCACGAGAGCCTAATTGGTGCCCCAATAAAATATCATACTGGGAGTTATTTTTCTATCGTAATTTTACCTATTATTTTAAATGACTCGAAAGAAAGAAATATTGTTAGACATATTCATAAATAAGGTGGGGAATATTGACTCATTTCTGTGTATGAGAAACACGGAGATGGACATGTAGCGGTATTGACGGCCTAAATCAACCCGTACATTTTTTTTTTACTTTACGAATGTGTAAGCAAACGCAAAAGCAGCAAGAGAAACAATAAGAACACAAAACGGTTTTATAACAACAACATTTATATTTGTATAATGATGTACAAGTTTAGTAACCCTCATTTCAAGTTTAAACATTTTCTTGAATTTCATAAGTTGTTAAATATAAAATGAGCTTCGAGAAATTTCCATAACAAAACATTCAAAATTTGTGCCAAAATTGGCTCAACCGACATAAAAAAAAATCTTTCTCAAATTCATCCCTAATTTAAATGTTTCAAGAAATCCTATTGGCTAAAAAAATAAAAAAAATTACAACATTCTCCCACGCATTTACCAGAAAAATTCGCAACAGCTACCAAGCCCCGTTGAGCCGATTTCGTTGATAAGAAACTATAAACAGAAATAGTAAACGAAATTTCGTCGCATTTGAGACTCACACACGCGAATTATGTGCCGTCAAAGAAGCAAACTTCCTTTTGAGAAATTAGAAAAATTTACACAACAAACTTTTTCACTCAATATCTTTCATAGAAAAATCTTTTGTCTAAGTTTAATTTAACCTTTTTAATCAAAGGCAGACAACATTTTAGACATTGAACATTTCCGAAACAGCAAAGAACTTCTTTTCTAAAATATACCTTTGCATACATCATTACAAACAAAGAAATTGTCAATTGAGCATACAAAATTTAATCTGTTGTTTCAAACATGTATTTTTTTTTGTCGTGATTGAATATCGTTACCATTTGGCCATTTCTTATAATTTATGTTTGTGGATATTGCATATTTTATTTGCAGCACAATGTTAAATATTCACGCAACCTTCTTAGATCCACTACACAAGCATAGGGGGTTACTGTTCTTTTTGGTGTTATGTCCCTTTGACTGAATTAAAGTTTTTTATAATGAAATATTTTCATCCAAGCTCACAAAAGTTGAACTTGTCGCTCAAGATGTTTACTATTAGAGAGTTGAAAGAATTATCAAGCTGAGAAAATGCTGAATAAACTTCAAGATTTAGAAGAGGTGAATGTTTTGTAATTAAGTTTCCATTGCTTGTACTTGAATATTCGTAGTTTGAAATGAAGTTTGAAAAGTTTCGTATGTTTGTAATGTAATTTGGAAAAATTCGTACGTACGTGTATGTGTGCGTGTGTGAATATATTTTCATAGCATCTGACCTCACCTGCTCAAGATGCGAATCATTTTTTACAACTACATTTTGTAGCGAGAGAAATCAAAGAAGAGACACACACACACACAAACACACACACACACACACAGAGAGAGAGAGAGAGAGAGAGAGAACGAACTCGTGTCTGGCATTTATAATCAACGTAATCACGTGACAGGAACGAAAAAGTATTGACAGATTTTGGCGGAATTATTTTTTGTCAGGTAAAGAATTATGTCGATGTTATTCGGACATGATTTAAATATCACCAAGATGACCAATCAGAAGTAGAGATTTCCTGAAAATATATATGAAACTTGATAAGCTTCGTGATCCACCTTTTGCACAGAAATCGAGATTGATATTTAAATATTAAGTGACCAATCAGAAGTTGAGATTTTCTGAAAATATGTATGAAGTTGAGTAAGAACTGTGATCTGCTTTTTGCACACAAATTGAGATTGGTAAAATAGTTGTAACGGGATGCTAAAAACATGTTATCAGATACACCTAGACAAGTATACATGATATGGTGATTAACTAAGGACACATACCCAAATTAAAGTGCTTCATCATCATCATTATCATCACCATCGTCCTCAGTTCCATGACTGGGTGTGGTCGTACGGTGGCCGCGCAGCTGAAATGTCTAGATCCCTCTATAGATCTGGGAAAGAAGCCAGAACAGTATTAAGTCATTCGTAACGTGATTTGGACATATAGACTTGGCGGATCCTATCCCTGTCCTAGTCACACTACAGTCGATGTCCTTCAATTTAAGGGCTCGCTTTGGTTACAGACATGTGGCATGTTGATTCAATTCGGTGAACTCTCTACCCTGGCTGTTCTCCGCCCAGTGATGCTATTGCTGCGTCCTTATCTATGAAGTCTAGACAACACCGTTGTGGTAAATGGCTGATCATCCGCGCTTTGAAATGTTTTTTGGGGTAAGTGATTTTTTTGTTTACTCGCATTTCATTTCAATTTATCTTCCATGAGAAGACTTATAATAAAAGAAATAATTACCATTCTCTATCGTCTATGGCAAAGCAAACTGGTTAGAAGCTGGCTCAGAGTTACCACCCGAAATACACATGTAGAAATATCTACCCATGTGTGGCATCACACACCCACAAAGACACACACACACACACATATATATATAAAATTTGAGTATATATATATATATATATATATATATATATATACTCAGAGTTTATATATATATATTTATACTCCGTTTGTTGTTATCTTATACTTGTATATATATATATATATATATATATATATATATATATCATTTCTTGTAGTTCAGTGCTACTAACAAGCAGGGATTATTTTCTCCTCATGATGACCAGGCTGTCCGAAACTAGTCGAGGAACCTAACTGATATAATAAAACAAAAAAAAATATTAATATACAAACCAGTGTATCTGAATATTTTAATTTTTTAATTTTTTTTTTATGAAAACGAACGCACACACACACACACACACACACACATATATATATATATATATATATATATATATATGAAAGTGGACATTGAGGTCAACACCTATCGGTGCCAGTCTGTTTCGTACTTAAACCCATTCATCATGCCATCTCGATTACGTTTAAGCAGGAAAGAGAGTGTCTGTGCTGGGTGTTGACCTCTATATCCAGGTTTATATTTACATACGCTCCCTCCCGGGTATCGAACATTTTAGTAAATAAATATAACATACTATTCGTCTTAAATATAACATGCCTTAAAACTGTTCGCCTTAAGTTCCTCGGCAAGATCCAAACACGGATAAACAATATGATTGGTCCTGATCAGGCATTTCGTCTACAGTCGCTCTCTCACAGACGTGCCGTTGCCTCCCTCTGTCTTTTCTACAAATACT